TATGGGATCTTGTCTGATGCTCTTTATATTGGTGGTGCTCACAGGATCCCTTATATTTCAATTGGAGGTAAAACTTCATAATTTGTCCATTTTCATACTTGCCTATTGTTTAAAATTTATTGTCATGTCATGTTTGAGATTGTAATAAACTCTCCAGTGTAATATATTTTTATTTCAAAAAATTGTTTGATCTTTGCTGGTCTTTTTGGCTTATTATTTGTTGTGTTCCAATTCGGATTGCATTTAAGCTTAAGTTTACCTGAATTTAGCTTTGTCAAGGGAATTATGTTGTTACATTTTCTCCTATTTACAGCTTTAGTTTGGTGTAGGCTTTATGATTTTAAATGTTACTTCTGTTAGTAAAAGATTTGCAAATTTCAAATGTTATCTTTACTTTGTAAGAACTTTTTCGCAAATTTCAAACGTTAGCTTCAATTTGTGTCTCTCTCTACGTTTGACCGTATATAATGAGAAGAATCTGTGACAATATGAAGCCTGCAAAATTGATTGCATTCTTTATCTCTTCATTCCTTGATATAAATCCTTTTTTGTTGGGTTCATTTCAATGCTTAAATCCAACACGATCAAGTTAAACCAACTGCACGAAGTTGCAGAACTGGAAATCGATAAACAGCAGGACCTGTATCTATTTGATGCTTTGATTGTGATCGTCTTTGATTACCACATATATCATACTGGAATTCTCTGTAATTATTTAGTAAAATAGTTATTCTAAAACACCGTATGTGATGACACATTTCATGCTGTTAATTACTTTACTCGAAAGTATTTTCAACAAAGAAAGGAAATGCTTCGGTCGTAAATATGCTTCTGAATTTGATTAACTAACTGCTTAAGATTTGTATCCATCTAATGACACCAGTAACCCTGATATGTCAAGCTCTTCAGTCCTCTTGCAGATTTTATCTTGGGGTTCATTGGCTGTAATCCCGGTTGCAAGTGAAGCTCTTCCAGCTCTCATGGCATGTGTGCTTATTACTAATCTCGGAGCATCGATTGCAGAAGTTGCGAAAGATGCACTTGTTGCAGAGTATGGCCACAAAAACAAGATACTGGGACTCCAGTCTTATGCATTTATGGCCTCGGCAGTGGGTGGAGTTCTAGGAAATTTACTGGGTGGATTTTTCTTATTGAGAACCCAACAAACAAAATCCATGTTCCTAGCCTTTGCAGCTTTACTCACCCTTCAACTCACTCTTTCTCTAAAAACAAGAGAAGAGTCCCTTGGTTTAGCTCAACCTTCAAACTATTCTCATGTCAGGGAATCGATCTCAGAAAGTATCAGAAAACCGTTTTCCGATCTTTTGATGGCGGTTAAAGAAGAGAGAATATTGCATCCACTTCTTTGGGTTGTTTCTTCCATCGTGATGATCCCAATCCTATCAGGTTCTATCTTTTGCTACCAAACTCAATTTCTAAATCTTGATCCTTCAGTTATTGGAATGTCACGAGTGACTGGCCAGTTGATGCTTCTTTCTTTGACTTTACTCTATAATCGGTTTGGGAAAAGTATTCCCATGAGAAAATTGGTCAGAATTGTGCAGGTCTTATATGCATCTTCCCTTCTTCTTGATCTGGTACTTGTTATGCAAATCAATGTTCAACTGGGAATTCCGAATGAAGTGTTTGCTCTCTTCTTTTCAGGCTTGGCCGAAACTATTGCACAATTTAAGCTCTTGCCATTCCATGTACTTTTTGCAAATTTGGCTCCACCGGGTTGTGAAGGATCTCTAATGTCTTTCTTAGCATCTGCCTTGTGTTTATCGTCTATAATTAGTGGGTTTTTGGGGGTTGGATTGGCTTCTTTTCTTGGTATAACATATGGTGATTACTCGAGCCTTCCTCTAGGAATTATGATGCAGTTTCTTGCAGCTTTGCTGTCACTTTGTTGGATTGATTACGTGCCAATGTCACTTCCTGCAGCCGAAAAGGCTAGGAAGGGAAGTAGAAGTAAAAGGAGTCGAAGAAATAGAAGGATAGGAAAAGTGGTGTTTGATTCAGTATATTCTTATCGGCGGGAAAGAGAATCCGATATGCAGAGGTGAGAATCCTCTTCTGTAAATACAAATGACCGTATGGTGTTCATTAGTGAACAAAGAAATCAGGAGATTGTGCAGAACTCCTATGCCAATTCTTGGAACTGCAGTTCTTTGCCTGCCGTGAAGGTGAAATGTGAACAAAGGTTCTGGCTTCTTTCGTCCTTTCTTCGAAAGGAATTATGATTGCATCAAATTAAGCCTGGCCTTTTAAATCACATTTTTGAAATCATTGTAATGGTGGAAGCAATACAAATACTTCTATGGACGATCTCTGGTTTTAGTCACATGGTTAACTAGTTTGGATCTACATGGAGCTGAGAGAACCAGCCAAATTTTCTACCACAATCACAGGAGTTGATTGTGAAATTCTGACCAGTATGTAGCATCTTGATAGTTCTCTATGCTTCCTGGCTTTCTTCCCAGAGGAATCAATTGCCCCATCTACAGAAGAGCCCTTTGCGTGTTGAATACAGAACTTCATCTACTCTGAAAGTGAGTTCGCCGCTTGTACGCTCCTAGACAGATTAGTTTATGTGTTACATCACGCTTTTATCAATATATTAGTTCTTTATTTTCCAACTCGAGGTTGTTTTTAGATGGTTGTATTTCCATGCATGCAGTGTACACGATCACTCTTCCTCTGTTAATTTAAAGCAACACGTGCTGAAAATTAAGTTTTGATAACTGTATGCTAAGTATGAATTGTCTTTACCTCTCTAGATATTAAGGATGTTTTGATAGTTATTGTATCAGCAAAAGAATAGTAGGTGTTATATTTAGTATTTACCATCTAAGTGCTACTTGTCAGCTAAGAATAAGTGTTATGTAGAAACTTTATCCGTTTACTCTGCTATGACTTAATGCTTAGAAGAGAATTGATTTGTAGCGTCTGTAGATCATCTTTTCCTTTGAATCTCAAATTACGGACAGTACACATACAAGATGACCGAGTTTAAAAATATGAACTCGGGTGATAAACATTGTGATGCGCACGAGGCTTTACTTCCTTCTTAAAAATCAATCAGAATTTTAGTTGAGAAGGTTAGATAGACCAGATCACAGCTACCGATACATATAATTCAATTTAGGTCTGAATAATTGAAAATCCTGTCAGGAGTACTGCCCGAAAGTCTGCCGGTTTTAAGAGAATGAAACAAAACATATTTCAAATTCTGTTGATATTCTTCTTGAAAAAATATAAAAATTTGAAATTTGTTTTGAACAACCGTGAAGCATTAAATTACAAAAATGATAATGCAAGAGTTAGAATTTCATAATATATTGAAGAAGCTGTGCTATAAACTATTGCTGTTTGTTTTCAGATAAAAAGTTAACAAGTTCCCTAGCTTTTACTTCTCAGAGTTCAACTACTGAAACAGCCCATAACATCAGTGATTTTTAACCTTTAACCCATGAAGAGGCAGCACGACCCGTCTTCATGGAGTATAGCAAAAACACAAGGAGCTGTAGGACATATAGCCTTGAAATATATTTATTCTCATTTTCATGCCGTATAGCTAGGCTAAAACAGTTGGATATTTGGTTCCAGCATTAGAGTGTGCCGAACAATATAACTGACACGATTTCAACTACCTTTTCTTCCTTAATAATCTAATCTACCTCACCAAACACGGCATAATTTGTAAAGCTCTGGTTCTCTACGATGTAGTGCTATTATATTGAGCAGAAGACTGAAAGATTATTCAAACTGGTGTCAGTAAGAATTCAATGGAAATTTGCAACCAAAGTATGCTGGTTAGCTAT